CCAATGATAATTTTGAATTCGTACCTAGTAGCCAATTGAGTTTACAAATTTTTAATTCCATTTGCTGTCTCTTTGCACCAGATATGAGATTTCCAATTTAATTTTTTGTCAAGAGTTAGACCTAAATATTTTACACTGTCTGCCTCCGTTAAGGCTACATATTATTAATGGTTACTGGAGGATTGTACCATAGACAAAAAGAATAAATATAGACTGTCAAAGGAAGGTTCCGGCGCCCACCGCTAGGAGTACCGTCTAGTTACGGCGCACACCGCTGCAGGTGAAGAGCGCAGGAGCCGTATGTTACCAGCAGACGCTACAGCGGTGTGCGCCGTAACTACACGGCAAACCTAGTGGTAGACGCCAGAACTTATGCTAACCGCAGCACAGCTGACGGTATATATTTATTCTATTTGTCTATGATTGTACTCTGTTCTCAGAGTAAAAACAATATGTTTGGACTTGTTTTCGTTGACTTTTATCCTCCACTTTTTAAGCCAATATTGGAGCTCAATCAAGGCATTTACATTTGACAACAAATATTCGTAAAAAACAAATGGAATAGAAACCTATTTGATACCTCTCATTTTGTTATGCATAGATTTGTTTTTAAAAATTAGGTTATCATTACAACAGCTGTTTCCTTAATTTAATTTAATCAAGAAATGACAAACATGGCATAGTAAACAAAATAAAACATTCTTCCATAAGATTAACATGTAAACTGCAATGGCCTTAGGACGCTACCCTTAAGGGTTTTTGAAACGGAAACAGGCTATTATGTTATTCTAGTACCTAAGGAATATCCCTGTAAATTTTCATGCCAATTGGTTCAGTCGTTTTCTAGTTATAAACGCTGTAACTAACACAACTTTCTTTTATATATTTCTAGTTGGCCCGACAGACGTCGTCTTGTCCTAATGTGGTTTTATGTCAAATGTTCGTTCATTTTCAAGATGAGCATGTTCGCATGGCTCAATCACGTCTTGGTTGAAGTTCGTTCGCTACGCTCACTCACCTTTTGGTTGCAAATTAGCTGTTGTAATAAATTGAAAAAAAAAATAATAGTGCTGCACCCTGTTGGTAAACCTATTAATTTCTTAATGCTATTGAACATCATAGAATTAAATTCTTTAGTTGAACCAGCTGTTAAGAATCTTTAATTCCATTTAAATATGAGTACTCAGAAGGTTAACATGGGAAACTCCAAAGCCACTGGGGCGGAGCCCTTTTGACGGATCTGCACCAAACTTCACACAAACCATCCTTGAATAATGCTTAATAATAACTGAAAGTTTATTCATTACAATCTGTCGATCGGTTTCGGAGTCCATAAAGGACAAACAAACATACATTGGATTTTATATATATAGAAGATTTGTTATAGGCCTAGCTTGCTATTTAACAGTTTTGAGTTTTCAGCTTTCTTTTATTCTTCAAATTCGAGATTTTTTTTATAGTTAGAAAATAACATGGAACATGCCCTTACTACAAGTTATCTTAAAGAGTAGCTCATGAATAAGCTTGGAAAGAAATTTGGCGCTGTTCCGTTCAGTAGTTAGGGTATTACGGTAGTTAACTTCAAAGTCCTTTTGTAAAACGTTTTGATCCACCCTGTAAATACGGTTAAAGATAATTAAATTTTTTTGCACAAAAATGATCGGGGTGATTAGACCTTTAAATTGATGTATCACACAACCCATGTTTACCTTTGAAAATTTCTCAAAAAGCACCCCTACCCCCCCAAAATTGGGCCCTTTTGGGGCATTTTTCAAAATTAAAAATTATTTTATTGGATTTTGCATGTCCAAATTAGGGGGAAATGAGAACAAACAAGTGTTAAAGCCTTACCTTTGCACACAACAGATATGGAAAGTTTTCAAATGAACACCCTGTATATTTAAAAAAATTTATGATTGAAAACACTTTTGATGGATGGGTATTTTGGTATTCATCCTCAAGCTAAGTTTGGCCTAGGTAGCAAGTTTTAACAAGGTACCTTCTTACACGAAAAAAAAACAGTATAATGAATCATAATACAAGTGTGACAAATGTCAAATTATTGTAAAGCCTTCAAACGGCAGAACACATATTATATACACAAGATAGTTGATATAGCATTGACAAATTTGAAGGAGACTGCAAGCGCCGTGAATAGAAGTCGTTCGGAGTTAAAAAAAAGAACGATTCTCATTATACTCAACCGATCTGTTCAGCAAGAGCTGTTCACCTTCAATTTGAATCTCCCGCTCTTTGTCGATCTGTTTTGCTTGTCGACATTTTGCGTGTCGATAAAGTGGGAAAATTTACACAACCGTCCCACATAACAGACATCCCACATAACCGACATCCGACTTTACAGACATCCCATATTACCGACACTGTCGACATTTTGAGTTGTCGACATTGTGGGACTATTTCAGTGTCGATCTTTTGGGATGTCGATAAACTGGGACCCCACGAAATGGGATGGCTATTTGGATTATTTAAAGTCAATGATGTAGCAGTCTAATTCAGGCGACACTAATTATTGGTTACTCATTTTGTAGTAAATGTTCCATGCTTAATACGATTTTGTTATTTCCTTTTTCTCTGTACGGTATTTGTAATGTGCTATTATAAATGATTCACTGACTAACATATGATGAGCAGCCTCCCCGGTTGAACGACGAAGGAAACTTCAAGATGGATGAAGTCCCCCAGAATCAGTGGAACACGACGTGTCATCCGCCGCCCAGCCTGAGAGACCCCTTCCAGAGATGACAACCCCAGCAAGATCTTCAAGCAGCACAGCACCAGCCTGCTACGCTGCGACCGCCCTCCTGGGATCATGGACAGGGATTTTTGCCAGGGAGGTAGGTGGTTTAGTGGGTATACTACGGGGAGACCTGTAGGAGTCCCACACTCCCCCGGCACGTCGGGCGCTCCAGGAGGTGCCTGGCGCGCTCAACGTATCGGGAAGTGCGTAACGCATTCCACCTACCAATAAAAAATAAAGAAACGTATGACACCATTCTTGTTTACCTTTTATTGTTTTTTATCATGCAAATAATGGTATGGCAACCAATTAACCCATAAGGTCCATGTTAAATTGCTAAATTTAAACTTCGCGTAGGGAAAAGCCCTGTGGTCCGATATGTACCATTTCAGATTCATACACTAAACAAAAGCGTACAACTATCGACTATATTATAGTATATATAAATAGTCAATGGTACACCAATTGCTGTACAATTACGGATTAAAAATTACTACAGCTTTTGATTTTCCAACCCAGTACGTGTTAGATTTATTGCCGATACAGTTTATTTTACTATTGTCCTGTCTACCAATTCTTATCCACCCAGCATCCTCACCTCGTTTGCTGTGTGTACATACAGATTACAGAACCCCCACGTCTGACGTCTCCACTCCAAGTTGGCCTTTATTCAGACATCTCACGACTCTGTGCTCTCGGCATACTTGAAAAGTATAGCCTAAATACTTATTTTTTTACTTTTTACTGAAATTGACCATGGGAAGATAGGTATTTTTAGGCCAAGTAATATGGAGATGAGAGTGATGAGTGGCGTGATCTTGTAGTTTGTTATGACTTTAAGGCAGACATGTTCCTTAGACAGAACTGTTAAATAGGTCATACAGCCAATGGTAACTAATTGACCTACAGTTTATAGTGGATTGTGAACCACAATTCAGCCGCCGGCTGCATGGCCCCAAACCTACAACCCACAGTTAAAGATGCTCCTGAGGGGATGTAATGCCCTTGCTTGCTTGGTGCACGCTTTCACCATATGAATTTCCCAGATGAGTTTGAAGTCGATTATGAAATGAATCCTAATAACTTAACTTAATGCAGGTTGTTAGGAATAGGATTCCGTGCCAGACTGTAGGTCATATGTTGAGTTTTGCTTCAGTTTAGACAAAACTTATTTGATTTGAACCACGGCTATTGGTGTGATTTTTTGTAGCGCGCGCACTACTTTTTGCCGATTTTACCCCCCTTATCCTACTCCCCAGGTACATAATGTTGATACTGTCGTGTCCGTTAAAGTGTCCTCTATCTGTTGGCATAATCGGTAATATGCATCGCGGACGTATTTTGCCGCAATACGGCCAGCAATAGATTTTTTGTAGCGCGCGCACTACTTTTTGCCGATTTTACCCCCCTTATACTACTCCCCAGGTACATAATGTTGATACTGTCGTGTCCGTTAAAGTGTCCTCTATCTGTTGGCATCATCGGTAATATGCATCGCGGACGTATTTTGCCGCAAAACGGCCAGCAATAGATTTTTTGTGGCGCGCGCACTACTTATTGCCAAGTTATTGCCAGGTTCACACAAGTACCACGGCTTAGAGTTATCTCAAAGGACTGTTCATCCTTGACGCTGGCGGGCAAAGCTTGAAAACCAGAAAAAGGGGTAAAGTACTGCGAGTAGACATCCCTTTTATGCAAACCCAAGCCCATTGGGAACACTCAATTCGTGGTTATATTATCCAAAATTATTGGCTTAGTATTCGTGTTTCGCTCAAGTTTGCAAGCAGACAACTGCATTGTACACTTATGGTGTTTATTAGTGTTGTTTTGGGTTATTATGTGTATTATGTGTTGTTATGTTATAATGTGTTGTTATATTATGTGTTCATAGTAATTGTATATCGTACTATAATTAAGTTTTGGTTTTGATAGATTATAGGTAGATGAAAAAGCTAGTTTAGCACAAATGTATTTTTTCTTTTACATCACACATTTTCTATAAGGGACAAAAAATATGTCGAAAGTGTGAAATAAAATAGCCAAAGCAATTACAAGAGATGAAATGTAACAAGTTGCTAGGTTTTACAACTGCATGGTGAAGCTCCAAGTCAGCCGTTGAGCACTCAGTTAGAAAAGATATCTACAGTACTTTTTTAGTCATATATGGCCACAGCTGTTCAATCCATTCCTAAATCTCATTCTCATTGTATTTATTTACTTTCGTGAATTCTGTCTTGTCTGTCATTTAATGTCAAAACAAAATGGCTGAGAATTAGTGTTATCTAAATTATGCGTTTGTTTTTCAAATGAAAAATAAGTATTGACACAACTTTTTAGGCTATTAAATTTAGCAACAGCAACTAAATTTTTAAAATCCTAATTAACAGTAATCACAGAAATATTAGTGTGCCAGGTAGGCCTTAAACAAGTTTTTCTGTTTTAAATCTTGGCTACCTGTCTTCAATTTATGTCTTAAGACTTTTCAACCACATTATTCTTTATTTCTTTGTTTTAAGGGATCTTGTTCCTGTGGTGTATGAATTATAGGACTAATTAGTACATTCTTTGTTGCCGTAGTTTTGAATAGGCTAAGTTACCAAAAACTTGCCAGGTAAGGAACACAGCCTAGGTTCAAGGTAGGCCTACTGCATTAGACCAATGTAACTTGACAGAGCTTTGACTAGTTTATCGTATCGATGGATGTTATTTGTTATAATCAATTTCCATTTATCAATAGGGTTTTGTAGGGTTGAAGGTAACAGAGAAAATTCCCAAAAAACTAAACAATAAAAATTCCCATGTTTTCCTTAAGTTTAATGAAAAAAATAAAACTTTTGTAGTTTGCGTGTCATGGATATATATTGATTAATTTGGCAAATTGATGTAGTTATTTCATAGTCACTGTACCTTGGCCTACTAACATTTTGATCAAAAAAGAAAATTTGTTGTCTTTTCCAGATTGTCACACAATGTTTAAACCAGAATCACAAAAAGGCACATTTTTAGAACAAACCAAAGCTGCAAGGGAGGAAAGAGCACTGGAAAAACGCAGAGAAAATGCTGCGGTTTCAATTCAAGCACATATCCGAGGATGGATAGCACGACGTGACTTTACTAAATTAATTTTGTAAGTTAAATACGATTTGTAATTTTAAGTTTGCAAAGCAATGTTTGTGTGGCCATATTGAAGTCATATGCCTAGAGTTAAGTATTAAGTAGGTAGGCCTATATCTTTTTGCTGTAAAGCTACGAGGTACGTTTGGAAAGTAAGTTCCATTTTGAAATAAAAAATTACAAGTAAGTTACAGGAAACGGTACAGCACAGAAATTTACTTGAAAAAAAAATCAACACTCTTTTTTTACCGTAGGCATAACTCCTTTGATTTTCATGGCTTTTGGTACAAGTTTGGGTAGGCTAATTATTCCGACGTAGTGACTACTCGCAAAAGTGAAATTTTTTTCCTTACTGACCTAAATTTCACGCTGAATCCGAAAATGACGTTTTTATTTTTCGGAAAATACCGGAAATTAGGCTACCGAAAAAGAGAAAAACGGGAAAAAATTTTTTTACTCGAAATATGTCATGTGGGTACTCAAAATATGCGGAATATTGTGTAGATTAAGAATATGCGATTTTTTGGATTTTTTGGATCCGATGAAAAACATCGGAGATAGGACGAAAAAGCTGAATAATCGGTTAGGTTAGGCTTGGTTAGGTTAGGATAGGTTTGATTAGGTTAGGTTAGGTTAGGTTAGGTTTGGTTTGGTTTGGTTTGGTTTGGTTAGGTGATTTTAGGTTAGGATAGGTTTGATAAGTTAGGATAGGTTTGGTTAGCTTAGGTACATAATAATAAAGTACAAATCCAGTATCTACGAAGTAAAAGGCCAGGGACATGAAAACGTACGTTTTTAAATTTTCACTCATTGATAATTAGGAAATAACACTATTTCAACAGGTTTTATAGTTTTATAAGACTAAATTTTGGTTTTTTTCATGAAAAGTGATTAATAAAGGTGAAATTAAATAGAAACTCCTCTTAAAAGTCAACAGAATCCATCATAGTTAATTAAATATAGGCTACCTATAGTTGTATTTGAAAAAAGTTTAGTAACATTGAAATATAATTAGTTTACAAACTACCTATTGTAAAAAAAAAATAATTACCAATGCATTCTTCTTAATTTTTATAAATCGGTACCGTGACCGGGCTGTGGCGGCCGTGACCGGGCTGTCGCCGCCGTGACCGGGCTTCCGCCGACGTGACTAAAACTAAGATTTTGAGTATGCGTCCATCCTGTTATGCGAATATTTGAGCTTAGGCCTACATATGGTTAAAAACTGACCATAGAATCGTAAACGACAAATATTAAATATATAAGTAACAAAGAACTAAAACGGAAATTCATTCATAACTTACCTGGATATTTTGGAAACAAATTTCTTATAACAATTTAGTTTTTTTTAAACTATTTTTAGTTAAAGTTTAATATTTGTGTTGTTAGTTAAATTTAGAATATCAAATGACATAATAAAATTAACGCAACCTGCGTTTATTATACATTTCGGCTTTATATTACGGTCACGGAAAAACAGCTCCGGTAACGTGACCGGACTGTATTCTTACTATATTTATTTATATAGCTCCTAGGCTAGTTGACGAGACTAGGCCTCATTTTCAGGTTATGCTCTGTGCACAATTCTACAGCTAGTCCAACGTTTGATTTGCCAGTTTTATTGGAATATATCAGATTAGTGTGAGTGACCGAACTGTAACATAATTAAGGTACGATGTGTTTCTTGCCTGTTGTTTTGATTATAATTTCTAAATCAACACTTCTTCTGGCAAAAACTTCAACTCACAGCAACTGTACAAAGGTACTCACAAGGCTGGGACGATTTGCCACGCTTTACAACTTTTTTTGCTGCTTTGGCGGGCTACGTCATTTTCACAGTCCATATCTCGGTGGCACTTGGAGACTGACGTATTAGGTCAAAAAATTAATATTCCGACCAATTGTAAGATTGAACAGATGACTTATTCGAATAATAAGTATTACGTATAACCTATATTCAAAGCTCTGTCGTGTTTTTAGAGTTTTTCCATATTTAACATCTCATTTGATGTTTAGGCTAGTGACCGGAGACAAGTGCCCGGACTGAAAATATGCGTCTGTAACCTATAAAACTTTTAAATTATGCATGTAATTGCTAAAATAAAGGAATATATTATTGGGAAATAAGGTAAATAAGTAAGTACACACATTTAATTATTTTTTATTCAGTTTAATTTTTTATTTATACCTGAGACATAACTTATTCCATTCTGGGACATTGACCCATATATAGATACAGTACCTGTTAATTGCACTAATTTTACTTACCTTTACTTACAAAATATTTTACTTACAAAAGGCTTTCAAGGGATATCATCCAACCCCGAAAAAGGCACATTTAAGAGGATAAGACTAATCAGAGCTTTGAATTGATACCCAATAACCAAGAGACCTAATAAAATAAATATTTAGGGGTCGATTTGCTGAAAAAATCATCCAACAAATTATATTAATAATATAGATAACAACAAAATCAAAACAATTATATAATTATACTAGCAGAATACCCGTCCTTCGTATGGGGTTGGCATCTATATTAATACTTATTTAATACGCAAGCAGGTATTTTGTGACAATTACTCCTCCGAAACTACTGAACCGATTGACAAGTTTTTGGTGTCATTGGAAAGAGCGTAACAAGAAGTTGTGCAGGAAACTTTCTTTTTAGGGAAATAATTAGAGAGTAAGGCCCTGGGGTCCTCTAAAGTTTCGTATTTCTCCATAAGATTAACATTGGAAACAAACATTGTTATGAAACTCCAGCTGTTGTCAGAAATTAAAAGTGAGGAGAAGAACATATGTTAATTGTAAACAGTCAATATGTTTGCTAATTTAACAGTATGCTACAAACATTTACTGACTTGGTTAAAATGAAATATTTACTACTTGAATTTGGGTTGGCGTAAATATTACAAAGGGAAAAAGTGAGATAGCCTGGATACTTTTACATACCAAAAAGAAAACGGAATCAACACTGTGCTGCTTTTCTTATTAATCATTGAAAGAGCCAATTCTCAAACCATGGAAACATAGGAAAGTAATAGAACACCACCAAGGAGAAGAAATAGAAATAATGTTTTTTTTTTTTAAATTTATAATCTCATGATGTTAGCCTCCGAATCACTTTATTTAATTAATTAATGGTTTAAATACCTTAAACTTAAATGGTGATCCTTGGAGTAGTATTACACTACTGCAGTTTCAGCTCTCAGGGAGCTTTCTTCAGGTGTCAAAATTTATAATCGTTATTAACCCTCCGAGTGTCCCTAGTTTTGGCCTTAATGTTTGCCTATTTTTTGCGCATTTGCAAGGTTTTATTAAAACGGATCTGAGAAGCTTAAAAACAATGTTAATTGTACTGTTCTATATACCATTTTGTTTGGAAAATTATGGGCTTCAATATTATACATAAAACATAAGGAACATTTGTTTCAAAAACATTTTTTAGGTAAAAAAAATATTTTGGAAAATTTTCAAAAAAAAAAGTTTGCGCTCAATGAAATTTTATAAATTATTGGCCTATAAATATTTGAAAATAGCCACTTTGTTCTAAATTTTATGAGGGTTACAAATATATAATAATATAAGGAAGTAGATTTGCAAATAAATAAGTTATGGGCAAAAAACAGATTTCAGTACATAGCGTTTAGCTAAGAATGCATAGCCTAGAACCATAGCTAAGAATCTGGCTGATAATTTACATCAATATCACTACCTACTTCTTCAGGATCATCAACCAGCCCTTCAAAATCACTTAAATCTTCTTATAATACATCACGTATATCACTACTTCTGATTTTTAACACTAAAATAATGATAAACGTAATAAAACACATCAGTCATCGGTGCGAGGTTAACCAAGCTGTCTACAAATACGCACGTCAGCTGTCTGCTACAATTATGATCGGCTCGAGAAAAAAAAAGCTCTTAGAGACAGACCTCGGAAGAAAGCTTAGAATCTGCCAAATAAAACGATACCTAACTCGATCCAGTTCAATCCGATTTTGTCAGTCATAGAGCCTTCGCCGTAAACAGTGTTTGTGAGTCGAAAAATCGACACAAAACACTCGGAGGGTTAAGGACAACCTAATGCGCCTATGAGTAAGGCTACCTATTTGTAGAAAACACTAAAAAACAAGATCAGCTTTTGAAAAATGATAAGATATTTACAAGAAATATTGATTGTATCGATCTGTTATGTACATCTTGAGTATTCCATAATCTTTAAATCGAATCTTTTAAAGTCTTCAGAAATTATGACTGTTATTCGTTTTAAAATAACAACGCTTGTAATACTTAGCAATTGCTCAAATTCGAGCAGGTACACTAGTATATATACAGTAATTGAATTTCAAATCAGGCAAATAGAAATTGGCTTAGTCTGCAGGCTTGCTGCGGAGGGGGTGTTTAATATTTTTTATTTCAAAATGGAATTTATCTTTTGAATGTACTTCGTAGTTTTACAGAAAAAAGTATTATTTTTATTTAATCTAGTTAAAATAGGCCTACCGGTATTAGATTATATATGCTGGATTTTTCTGAAAGATTTATTTAATCACTATATCTTCTTTTAGGAAAGTGTGATGATACAGACATTGTCTATAGACAGGGTGCAGATACTATATTTCAAGCAACAGTATACATTTATTTCAAGCAACAGATATTAAGTAGTTAACTATAATGACGAAAGCTGTATCTGGACTTTATGACTTCAATATGTCACACAAATTTTGTCACGATACATTGTCAGTGCTTGTTAGGGTATGACTATTGATTCCTGTGATAAATTGCTTGGTGCAGTGTGTAAAGTTATATAGCAGATGCGTCATTTACCAAGCGCTGAATATTTGACAGTGGCGAGTTACCGTACTTATGTTGGTATTTGCCAATTTCCGAGTAGAGGTGCCAACACATTTCTCTTTTTCCGAGCAGTCTGTTTGTTGTAATGTGTAGCGGGAAATAACAAGCACTGACTTTTGTCGAATGACGGAATCGACAAACACCCATCCACACAAGTTGGGTTTAATATTAATAGTCTATTTAGTATTTACTTACCCAACTATACCTCTTCTAGTTAGGGCCAAAAAATTTCCATAATTCATCCACTATTCACAAACTTGTCTGTTGTTTATAGGCAAGAATACGACAATGAGATGAAAATTATCCATGAGGATGTTAAGGTCACTGATTTGAAATCATCTTTCTACATGTATCGTATCATCCAACGTTATCTCATTGTCTGGAAGAAAGAAAGAGACAAGGAACGCTTTGAAAAATTGTGCAAGTAAGGAAATTTTTTAGATTTTTAGCGAATTTCCCATATAGATAATAAGCTATTACCATAGTACTCATAGTAAGACCTGGACCCGGGACCGATTTAATTTTTCATTTTGAGGTCCCTAGAGGCCAAAACACCATCCGTTCAAAATCATATGTACAGGGTTAGTAAAAAGTATGGAGACCCCCTGTTATTTTTTTAACGGCCCATACTAGAAAAACTAAACTCGGCACACCTTTATGACATGTTATGAAGTACTTTTTGGGCATAACCGTCACTTGGTGTACATCCCCAAAATGGGGGATTTTGGGGGAAACTCAAAAAATTCAAATACAAAGACCCATCGAGTGACCCGTCATTTTGAAGGTCCTGGTAAAAGAAAACCAACAACGCAAACTAGAGGTCTTTATCTCAATCCAGTAAAAAATGGCAGCCAATTGAAATTCTCAGAAGTTCAATTTAACTTACAGCTTTCCAAGTCTGGAGACCTGCTTTAAATTTTGTAGCGGCTCACACTAGGAAAACTAAACTCTACACACCTTTTTGGCATGTTATGAAGTACTTTTTAAGCCTAATAGCCACTTACTTTCCAAACCCAAAATGGGGGGTTTGGGGGAAACTCAAAAGTTTTAAATGATAAGCCCATCGAGTGACCCCTCATTTTGAAGGTCCTGGTAAACGAAAACTAACAACGCAAACGAGAGGTTTCTATCTCAATCCAGTACAAAATGGAAGCTGATTGAAATCTTTAGAAATTGGAAATAACTTGCAATTTTATATTCAATTGGCTGCCATATTTTACTGTGTTAAGAGACCTATAGTTTGTGTTGTTACTTTTCTTTTAATATGACCTTCAAAATGAGGGGTCACTCGATGGGGCTTATCATTTAAAATTTTTGAGTTTTCCCCAAAATCCCCCATTTTGGGTTTGGGAACTTTTATGAGAATTTCAATTGGCTGCCATTTTTTACTGGATTGAGATAAAGACCTCTAGTTTGCGTTGTTGGTTTTCTTTAACCAGGACCTTTAAAATGAGGGGTCACTCGATGGGTCTTTGTATTTGAATTTTTTAGTTTCCCCCAAAATCCCCCATTTTGGGGATGAACGCCAAGTGGCGGTTATGTTCAAAAAGTACTTCATAACATGCCATAATGGTGTGCCGAGTTTAGTTTTTCTAGTATGGGCCGTTAAAAAAATAACAGGGGGTCTCCACACTTTTTACCAACCCTGTATATATCTATACTAATATATAAAAGTTAGAAGGTGTGTGTTTGTGTGTCTGTCTGCTACTTTATAATGCAAGAACCACTGAACCGATTGAAATAAAATTTTGTATGTAGGTAGCTTATATATCTGGTTAACATATAGGCCTATTCCTGTTATCATATTTCCCTTGGGCTACGCCCCATGGGCTTCCAAAGTTTCAATGTTTACATTTTGGAAGAATGTAAATAGTTAAAAATATTAATTGAAGTCGGCTGTAAATACTATAATTTGACAGTTGAAACAGCAGAGGTTAAGAGGTACAGGTTCTGCTCCCAAGATTCTAAAGTTTTATGCTTATGAGAATAGTTTAGTAAAATATTTACGGAAATTACTTATTTTCAAGGAAACAAAAGGATCATTACAATGTATAGCCTAAATGATTTGGTATAATTTTGATATGGTAGCTTTTTGTTTAGAAATTTGGACTGATAAACAAATGTTTGGATCAGGATTTTTATAGGTTTTAAAAACTTATACAGATATAGGCCTAATATATACTGGTACAGTTTTAAAAATTTAACTGACTCAATGTTTACACTTTTATTTTATTTACAAACTAAATTTTAACTATACCTACTTTTTTATTCTGACCAGAGGTAGCTACTACTTATATTTTCTTCTAAGTTCACTTACTGCGGGTGTGGCCGTGGCTTTTAGGAAACACTTTGGGAAGCCTGACTTAAAAGATGGCATAACAAACTTTTGACATGCCAAAGGACCAATCCTAAACAAGCAACGGTATATAGCCTTATAACCAAAGAACACTTCAACGGCAAACCCACACTGGATGCTTATAACTCTGCTTTCAAAGATCTGACAGACAATATTAAGACCAAGAGCTTCAGAGTGCTAATCTGCTCCCCAATGGGGTGTGTCCGAGATCTTGTGCAGATTGAGCATTTTGCCATGAAGATAAGCGAGTTTCATGATATCACCGGTGTACCGGTCATAGTTGTCACCAACATGCAACCAGGAGCTCAGCGTGTTCTCCATCATGGACTCTCCCATCCCCAATTCACCCTCAAACTTCGACAAGAATTACAAAAAGTATCACAATCAAGAGAAGTGATTTCACAACATCAATTTCAACTTCAGCTACAATCACCACCTAGTAGCCCTCAACAGCAGTTATAACCGGATCAGCATCCCTCAACACAACAACATCCCTCTGCAATAGAAGTAGTGGCTCCACAGGCTCCCGAACGGTTCCTGGTCATCTCAACTACAATGAGGTGTTGAAGAGGAAACCATCAGTGTCAAGTGCCAAAAAGCAGAGTAAATGTGTTGTGTCAAGTGGTGAGAGCAATCAGGTGATAGATGTAGATTCCTCCTTAGATAATAGCTTACATTTGTCTTTAAACTAAGATATCCTGACAAAGACCAAATGCCTGCTAAACTAGCTCTAGACAAATTTTACAATTTCAACAGTGTAAAAGCTCAGAGTAATATTAGCTCAGATTCATTAAAAAACAGCGATACTTACAGTAAATTTAATTTAGTAATGCACTACAATTGTCAAGGGTTAAATTCTACTAAAATATCAGAGCTCAATTTATTTTTATCACAGTCCAAATTAAATATTAAAGTCATGTCATTAAATATATAGTGTATACTTGACAGTATACATCAACTGGTTTTTGCACTTGGGTATCTTTCCCCACTGCCTGAAGACAAGTTTTGTTACACCTATCTTCAAGAATACGAGTAATGAATGCCCGAAACGCACTAAATCAGCAGTAAATGGATTCTAATGCTATTCTTATGGAGAACATTTGACCTTATATCTAATTTTGTGTTAAAACTTGGGGAATTTCACTATTGTGAAATTCACCAGTCGCCCACAATTTTGACGCAAAGAATCGGCTTATGTAATTAATATATAGATAGATAGATGTTTTGCACACTAATTTTTGGCCTAATTCACATTGTTAAAGTCTACTTTTTCTGATCAACAAAGTTTTTCTTCTTAAATCGTAAGACTCAGTTATTAGACTACTGATTTTTAGCGAATTTCCCATATAGGGAATAAGCTATTACCGTAGGTCTCATGGTAAGACCTAGACCCGGGACTGATTTCCTTTTTTGTTTTGAGGTCCCCAGAGGCCAAAAAAACTCTCCGTTCATATTCATATATGTCCGTTAGCGCGATAACTCAAGCAAAATTGATCCGGATTTTGATGCAATTTGATACAAACGTGTAACCCTACGTTTATTCGAACGAGTTCGCAAACCAGCATGATGGGACTATGGGAACAACGAGGGTTTGTGGGGGTTTTATGGGGTAAAAATTGTTTTTTTTCCATATTTGACTCTAAAAACATAAAAATTCCCAATAAACTGTATTTGATTTGGCTTGTTTATGGAGATATTTTTTAAATCAAATTTGGAAATTTTGTTTATTTTATACTAAGATAATAACTTTTCAATAAAAACACACCTCAATACCTTACCTGTAGATGCAAACCTAGGTACTTATTAAAATAAATGTAATTTAAACAGGAAATAAATGACAATTTTCAGGGAATTTTTAGTAGAAATCCAGCCAAGTACATGAAAATTGCTTAGTCTGCAGGTTTGCTGTGGCGGGGGTATTTTCTTTATTAGCTTAAGCTAGCAAAACATGTGTGCATTATAAATTAGATGTTTTAGTTCAAGATAAGCCTACAGAGGAGGAGGTAACCCTATGCTCAGTCCTCACGTCCTAACTAACTTTGAAGAAAATATGATAATAACTCACTGCAGTTTTACCTAGCAGTGGCAAAGAAAACAGTCTGTTAACAACGCCGTGGTTGTGCGATGGTCGGCTGTGGCCGATAGCGGGAACAGCCAATGCTAGATGAGTGCAAAAAATTTTAAAATTTAGTTTCATCCAGTAGGACAGGCTTATTACTAAGTCTGCTTTCATAGAAGTGAAAGCCAGTTGAGCGGAGCAATCAGGTTTTATTGTATTCAACAAAGCAATTAATAAAAACAACGTTTATAGATATAATACATCTATTTAATCAATTTAACTTTTTAAAGACTTGGCTGTTTTGAGAGAATTGCACAAATAGTTGTCACCTTATAATGTTTGTTTTGTTAAATTTTGTTCATTTAACATGATTATGCATTGTTTTGTAGCAAGTGTTTTGCATTCAAAACATTGCCAAAAGTAGTTGTGCGTGCGTTTCGGGCATTCATTACTCGTATTAATTTTCTACAAATATCAGATAGTTTTTGAGAATGTCTAACTAATTAAAACTATTAATTAAAATAGTTTAATTAATATATAAATGAACACCGTTATTGAGTTAAAGAGTTCAAAAGTTTGCTTTGAAGTCGATCCCAAAAAGCTTCGCTTCGCTCTGCTCAATAACGTGTAGGCCCACTGTGTTTCATTAGTTTGGACATAGTTTTACAAGAACCCAAAATATAGCAGCACTAAACAGCAATCACTCAGTTTTGCCAAATGAAGGAAAAAAGCAGGGACGGAAAATCCAGATACATCATAACAAGTTTTGCAAAAAGGCGTCAAGCACAGTTTTGAGGTTAGGTTCCTTCCACAATGCTTCACTGCAGTAATTATTATCATTATTCCATTCCATTTAACTAAATCCAAGCCAAAACCCCACACTACTCGAAATTTTGAACAATCAATTCCACTGATAAAATAGTCGTATCTGAAAACGAATTATACTGGATTAAAGTAGGCTATAAAACTGGCACAATAAGTGGTGATCGGAAACAACATTCCCCGTACGAGGCTAAGCTCACACTGAAGTAAGGTTATTGTTATGCAAGAAGAACGACATTTCCCGCCCCGTGCCAGTGGTGCCTGTATCGTGGGATGAGAATTCTTGCCCTACGCACTCAACCTTTTAAGGTGACTCTTGCTGGCAGTAAAATGTCAACAATGTTATTTAAGTAGCCTATATTCACTTTTGTTTCTCATGTTCTATGTTAGTATGAAAACACACTCATTTTTCATTGATGTACTTTCAGGTACTTGGTGCTCAGTTTGGATTCAGAGAGTGCTAAAATCAGCTATGTAGGAGTTGCTCTGAGTAAGGATCATGCTATCTCATGGATTACACACATCAAGGTGAATAAAGCCCTAATTTATAATTCTTGTTGAATTGAGCAGTTTAATTTTAAAAATGAATTGTGTAATGAGATAAATCCTTGAATTGAAATAGAACCAAACGTGAAACTTTTTCATAATTTAGAAAAATAGGTCTAATTTTTGAACATGTTATTTATTAGTTGTTTTTGCTAATTAGTAGGGACGTTCCGATACTGGCTTGCAGCCGATTTGGTATTGATACAATATCGAATCCCTAAAGTATTGATACCGTCAGTATCAAATCAAATGGTAGGGCCTATTGAAACAAAAAAAGCAGTTAAAATTTTAAGTGGATTCCGAAAAGAACAATAATTTTACTTGTACTTACTTATTTTTTTGAAGTCGTTTTTGAGAGGTTATCTTTACATACAAATGATTTAGTTTTCTAGCTTTGTTTTTGTTAATTAATTATGAAATATGGCAAAATAGTTATTTGTGTAACTAGTGGGCAAAGTAGCACTTTGCTGCACACGAGAGCAATGTTTACGCACTCGCCTGCGGCTCGTGCGGAATGATCTCGAGTGCAGTAAAGGCCTTTTGCACTCGTGTTACACATTATATTTTTCCTACAGTCACTAACTTATTAAGCATATAAATAATTAGTCTTTCAAACACTATACAACACGTTTTTAAGTTCAGCTAGCAACACAAATAGGTGCCCTAGAGAAAGTAGTACCCGGTCCGTATCACTCCGCTATTTTTCCTCGGCAAGAAATGTAAGAATGTGTGTGTGTTTTGTGTTGTTTAGTTGGAATCCTGATGTGCGGCAAAGTATAAACCGTACGACAAAGTATAAACCGTACGGCAAAGTATAAATATGCAGCAATTAGCAGCTTTCTGTACTATAAACAGTACAAGGAAGCCAACTTTGTCGGGTGACTGTAGGAAAAATATAGTTCACCACACGGGTAAAATGTGACTTTTTAACCCTTGCTTATTTTCCGACCTCGTCTTCACCTCGATCGTAAAGCTTGACCTCGGGTCAAAAAGAGTCACTTTAGGCCCTAGTGATGATATATACTTTCCATAAGTACATCATTACCAACAATACAACTGTTTACTATTTATTAAACTAAAGTAAGTAAGTTTGTATGAAAATCTATTTAGTTTTATGAAAAAATTTGTTTGGTGATTACAAATTATCATAGTAATACTAACTTATTACAAAGTTTTGTAACTTAAAGAAGTATTGATATGAATTTATAAGATGATATGATTGTTTAAAACATTATTAATCTTTGTAAAGAGAAGCATAATGTTTGTATATTTTGAGTCTTGTGCTGTTGGAAATTCGGAATATTAACCTTTGAATTTGGTATAATGTAGTAATTAACATGACTCCTAACTGTAAGATAGTTACAATATTTTAAAAAGAGTTTTAAATAAAATCATCTGTCAAACTACATGATAATGGTTATTGAATGATGTCTATTTGAGGTTCCTAACTCAAGCAGTAAGAGGATAAAAGATAAATTAAGATTTTTTTTTAAAATTACCATATAAGAATTAAGTTACATGTAGGCCTCACAAATACACATATGTAGGCTTTTTAAGGTTACTGTTAAAATAAAGGTAATTTTTCAAATCCTAACAAAATTTACAATAAGAATAATACATAAACATTGAATGAATTAATGGAAATCCTTCTTTATTGAGGTGAAGGACCTCTCTAAAAAACTAATAATGACAAAATATTAACAAAAAATACAATACAGTTTGTAATATAACAAGTTATAAAATAGCATAATTTATTTCATCTTCCCTAACATACACCCTCTGCTGCATCTAGGCCTAACGCACGCAAATCCGCCAAGCCACAGCCATCCGGTCAAGGTAATATCCTTTCAGCACCACTCTACCCAAACATGGCCAGATATCCCTGTGGTGCATCTATAATTTTAAATGTGTGCAGCTGAGCCCCTCTGAAATTAAACACATGAAGGAGGAGGATTTGGTGAGGAACTGCAAATGTTCCAAATGTTCTCTCGGCATTGAGGTTAAAGAAAATGTGGTAATGAAGGAATTTGTGTTAATGATAAGGAAAATCACAGGGAAGAGCAGTTTAATCACTCAACACTATTTGAGGAGTTAAATAAATCGATTCTCAATGAAAATGAAAAAAAAAATTAAATGAATCGTTTTATTTTACTTAATTTTTGTTTGTTTGGTTTTCAAAATTGTGGTGATGATAATTTATAGCTTGCTTTAAAAATAACAGAAAATTAAAATTTACGGCGATGGCAGTTTCTTACTGTGTGTTCAACACTCAATTAAAACATAATGAATTAAGACAACGTGTTGTAGATTTTATTTCAAAGAACTGAAAAACTTGATTATTAGTAAACTGTTGATAGTTAGTTTTTCTTAATGTTTATTGTCTGTCTGTTGATATACCAAAATCTTGGTTGTAAATTGAAATTCAAACCGGTAAATTGTGCAATATTAGTCTCTATAAAAACTGAAGTCCAAATGGCTCAAGATAGAACAAAAGCAATTTACACCATACCATAACTATCCCAGTACTACCCTATGGTTCAGAAACCTGGAGAGAAACTGACCAGTGAAGCCCAAAAAGCTTATTATATTTTGAGAATAGCATTCTGAAAAAAATAGGCCTATATGAATTAGTTAAAGATAATGAAGGTTGGAGGACATGAAAGAACAGAGAGTTAAGAAAAACATAGGTATAAACATAAGTATAGGTATAATATACACCTATTATAAGAACATAGGTATAAGATAAACACCCAGGTATAGTGGCTCTGGCCAAAAGTAAATGCTAATATGGGCAGGTCAAATGAGGAAGAGAGAATAGACTTCAATCGTTAAAACTGTATTTCAATGAGTTAACTAGGTAGTCGAACACTTGAAAGCAATGAGTTAACTAGGTAGTCGAACACTTGAAAGAATAAGAATGAGGTCTAAGTGAATGAGGCCTAACAATAGACATCTACAGACTGGGGTCTACCGGTCTACCTTAGTATAGACAGGTGATAGAAGAGAATGTAGGTGATTATTTGTCAAGGCAAAAACCTCATAAGATTTCAGTAGCCTCGGAAGTAAGGTAAGTAAATCCAATGGAAGGTGGTGTGATAGCTTAGACGCTTGCTGATTTATTGGAAACTCTTTTTATTTAAAATATAAATCATAGCTTATAAAAAAGGCTGCCAGGTGACATTGGTTTACTAGGCGCTTTTTGCAAAAACCACTTCAGATTTTACCTTTATGTGTGTAATGCTCTAGGTGGCTGAGTGGTTATAGTGCTCGCTTTCAAATGTCAAGGTCACTGGTTCAGTTCTAAGCGAGATTGTTACCAGATCACGATGCCATTTGTCATTAAGCTTGATGACAAAAGGTTGACTTTTGAAAGTAACATGACTCGGGTTTGGACCGTTCCTCTAATAAAACGTTTAATGCCAATGCATAGATGAATTTAAAAAATCTGCTGTTCTGAATTAAAAACAGATATAACCAAATAGTTAATTCCTTTGTGTAGAACGGGACCACAGGTCCTGCTGATGATATTTACATCAGAGAGGTGCCTATTAGTACTTATGTTGGCAATGTTGTAGGACATTTTATGGAAGTGTTGTGACTACTTGGAGGATCTGCGGCCAGACGTAGCCTCAGACACTCGCAGTATCCTGCTACTGCTGCACACTCTGGTTGCATTCACTGCAACCAACACTTGGGCTCTGCTACGGACATCGGCCGTTGCGCCACTACGCCAGGGGATGGCACAGTTGTGTGCCAACATCATGGGACACCTGTTCATGAGGGGCTTCTACATCACACTCAAGGTTAACTTACTTCAATTACCACTGCGTCACTAATGACCAGTTGATCTAGATAGACCGAGTCAACTGCATATATTCATTGAACTAACAGTTACGATCTGGAAGTATTTTTCAAGAGGATCAAAGCAAACATAACTATTGATCAAGGCATGTAGTAAAAGATAGTCAGTCCTTTTCAACTGTTATCTCTGATAATGAAATCTAGTAAATTTTAAATGTTTTTCTACATGAATTTTAGGGATTGTATTGGCGCAGTTCTCCTTTTAGCGAATTTCCCATATGGGGAATAAGCTATTACTGTAGTACTCATGGTAAAACCTGGACCCGGGAGTCTACTACTGTTGTAGTTTGCTTGTTTATTAGCATATATTGATAAAATTTTGAAAATGCATTAATTTGATACTAAGCTACTAACATAAAAAAAAAATTTACAATTGATTGAAAGTAATACGGTCCAAATCCTAATTTAATATACAAACCTTATTTAATCTCATCCAATGAGTACATTTGTGTCATTATTTTAACTACAGTACACTATCGATTAACGGAGGTCGTTGGCTACAAGACTACCTCGGCAACCGATTATCTAGGATAACACAGAGGTCTCTTAGATTTTAAGGTTAGGGGTTGCGGTCCCACATTAGGAAGTCTGATAGTTGTAAAATATGTTTAAAAATACTTATGAAAATGGATCTTCTTTTATTGTTTGACTAGTAGTACTGTTAGCCTGCCAGTTGAGGGGATTATCTTGTGTATTGGACGTCATGACGTTGGCTACGCGTGATTGTAAATTTTTTACAGATAACAAAAAAAGAAAAGTGACTAAGGCACAATTTGGTAAAAATTCAAAATTTAAAGGGAACAAGTGTTTTTTTTTTACTGGGAAAAGAATGAGACTGAAGGTAGATTGATTAAAAGAAAGAGTTGGAAAAACGCCAAGTTATAAGATTTGGACCTCAACAGATCCAAGTAAGATAGCCTAATTTGGATTACTGTCCATATAGGAACAGAAGTTAGATTTACGTCCATCCTAAATACTATTGCTATTGCTGTATAATAAATACTGATCCCTGATGTGTATGGCCAATAAATTGATCCTTCAGTTGACCTTCAGTATGTAAAAATTGCGTGACCTCTAATTGCAAGTAATGTAATTCTAAATTTTAAAGTACAAAAGGACTATATAATATTTTTTTATACAAGTGCTTACGAAAACCATGTTTTCATCACAAGGCTGTGTTGAAACTAATACAAAAAGTAAATATTTACTTAATAATAAATTAATTTTAAATAATTTGCCTATATCTCCAATGTAAATAATCTAATTATAAGGTTTAGTGTGTAAAATGAGAGTTATAAAGGCATAATATCATTTCCAGAATTCAACACCTCAGTATCTCAAATTTTTGGTATAACACTTGAACCTCGCTTACTAAAAAAACTCAACTCGAACTGTTACCCTTCCCTAGGTAATGCTATTAGTGGCTAACTGAATGTCTTTGCTTTGTAGGCTCTGCTGCTGAGAGGACTGGCAAGGTCCAAGGTCAGTCTGAAGCATGTGTCTCTGTCCGCTATCTTAACTCTGGCCTCTCGTCCCCTCATCTCTGCTAACCTCTCAGACAAGCTGGTCTCCATGTTCCTCATACACATCCTAAGTGTGCCTGCGCTGGTGCAGCACCTTAACAACCTGGCCCCCGAGGTCAGTTGAAATTTACTCCTGCCTAAGCGATTACACCTTAGCAAAGTTTTGAGAGTAAGTTCCAAATGAACTGAAATAGGCCGAACAGTTTTTGCTCTCTTTACACTTTATACACGTGTATGTCTACAATTTCTTACCTTATTTCTTATTTGATATAGTCTAGTTAAAGAGTAAGCTTGATAATGTTTATTAATATACTTTTAAATTAATTAAAATAAAATAATTAAAGCCTAATGTATTATTTTACATTGTACGATATGTAAAATACTGTATTTCTTGTCAGTGCTTGACAACACTGGAGTCAGCTGATTTCCTACCTAGAGCCATGGAGCTCCTCAGTGGAGAGCAAGATATGAGAATTGTGTTCAACACTCTAGAAGGGAACTACGCTCTGTGTCTGTTGGCCAACTTGATCCACCTTGCCTACCTGCAGCGAGACACTGCCCTGCACATCATGCACTTCCCAACATTTACAGTAAGATGAGATCTATTGTCACTTTCACTTTACTAAACTCAACATCTGAGAAAAATATCTTTTCTTAAACAGCTATTTTTGGTCAAATGATCAAATTTTGTGGGTTGGGAGTTTTATTTTTTAAATTGCTTGCAAATCAGCCAGTTAATCAGATATTAAGGTGACACTATGCCTTTAAAGAAGGTAGAGGCTTCTTGCAATGGGTAAAACTTTGTTTTAAGATACTTTCTTTCCATGTCCGGGAATCAGACTTCGCTTTTCCAAAAATTAGCTTCCGATATGGCTTTGTCATTTGCATGTAAAAGATCATCAAATGTGCAAGACTGGTCTAGGCGTGGGCAGATCAGCAGATGGCCAGGATCCTGAACAGCACCACACGCGCACAAGATGTTTTCTTCGTCTGGTAAGAGACCCCATTTCTGCATGTTTGTGTTGCATTTTGATACCTCGACCCTAATTCGATTTAGGGTCTTACACACCGTGTAATGAAGGCCTCCACCAGGAGCCAGTTCCTCACTGGCTGGTATGGGAGGGTTAGTCAACGTGGCCTCCTACCTTGCACCCGATTGCTTGAGAGTGATCCATCCAGGACTCGTGTCCGTGATAAAAAGCTCATTCTGGACCGAAGCCGTCGCTCTGCAGGTTGGTGGCCGTGTAATGGGTAATGAGGATCTGTCTCTTGCTTAGTCCTTTCTGCGTCGGCAGCGACATCACGTCGGATTGATGGAGGGGCGATCCCTATGATAGGACAGAGTTTGTGTACTGGGGTTGGTTTCAAACACCCAGTTACAATCCGAGTCATGTCATTAACTGCAATGTCAACCTTTTTGGCATGTGACGATGCATTCCATACTGGTGCAGCGTACTCCGCAGCCGACACACTGAGCACTAAAGCTGAGGTTCTGAGGACATTAGGGTTAGCACCCCAGCATCTGCTGGTGAGCTTCCTGATGATATTATTCCTCGCTGAGACTTTACCTCTTGTCGCAATACAATGCGCCTTAAATGTCAGTGTGCGGTCCAGTATGACACCAAGATATTTGGGTGTAGGACAGTCTCCCCGCCACCTCACATTCAACTCACGGCCTGCTTCTCTATTATTTAGGTGAAAAGCACAAACTTGGGTCTTAGCAGGGTTCGGCTTGAGGTGATTTGCGTCATAGTACTGGGAAAGTTCATTTAGAGCCATAGTCAGCTTCTGTTCCACCTCTTCAAAACTCCTACCTTGTGCCGCCACTGCCGCATCATCGGCATATATATACTGACGTGTAGCGTTTGGCAACGGTTGGTCGTTAGTGTAAAATGTTATAAAGAGCTGGGGCTAAGACGCTACCCTGAGGCAATCCATTTCTTTGATTCCTCCATCTACTTTTTTTGCCTTGAAGGGACACGATAAACCGCCTGTTATGAAGAAAAGTGCCTATCATTGAAGTCAGCTGATAGTCTTTGGTAGAGGTGTGCGAGCCTGAGATTTTAAATCGAGCCGAGCCCGAGCCGAGCTTATGAAAAAAAGCTTGAGCCTCGAGCTTTTACCGAGCCGAGCATTTTCTCTATGATAAATAAATGTAATTACAAATAATAAGTTCATCAAAACATTTATAAGAATTAAGTCACTCATCTCTGAAAGACTAAAAATATCAAACAAAATCGTAGTAGGCCTATAATTATATTGAAATAAAATCCCAAATTTAACTCTTAATTAAAAATTAAAACACATTTCACTGTAGCCGGGTATAGCCTATTTGGCATAAACTCACCACTTTCTAGGTTATGTTATGCTACAAACAATCATTGTTGTCATGTTGCTGCCACCAGATTAAAAATTGCTCAATTAAAGTCCCAAACAGAATAGGCTATGTTTATTTCACTTTCTATTAAACATCCAATAAACAAAATCAATTTTATTCTAAGTTACAAATTCACTTAAAAGTAAAAACATTTAAAACTGACGGTGACGGTGACATATCGCTCCATTATTTGGTGTTGTTACACCATCACCCATCTCCCCTCTCTCTCTCTCTCTCTCTTCTCCCACTAGTCGGTCTGCTCATTCATTGTGTCAGCTCAGCTTTGTTTTCTTGTCAAACAGCTGTTTTGTAGGGCTGACACTATGGTGAATGTCAGCAAAATTAATCATAAAATTGCTGTAGCTCTTAATTTTGTAAACAAAAGTTAATAGTTTGACTAATTTAAATAATGTTTATGTAAACTCATTAAAAAATGTGTAGTTAATTTTGGGAAAGTAAATACTTTGTTTTTGCCACTACAGTAGTTGTAAAAGTACAAAAAATTTTGTCCATCTGGCAACACTGCCTGTACTGAAGTGGAGTGGAACTGATCTTTCTGACAAGACCCAATGTGGACATTGCGTCATTCCGATTCCAAATTCCGATCCATTGATGTTCCTTCCTTGCAGTAACTTATCACTCAATTGAATATGGGTTTTAGGTTACTTTTATGATTTATAAAATATTCCAACATTATACTTTATTGTCAATAACGTTTACACCACAATAATATTCTTGCCACAGCAGCCTAGACGTCTCTATCTACTAACCTTGAATTATAATTATTGGTTGTCTGCCGATGTCACAATGTCAGTCAGTCAGTCAAGTCACATACACTTGTTGTCTTTCTTGCATTGAATGATGTTCTTCATGGTTACACAATACGTTTAGACTTATAAATTAAAGGGTAGGGAATGGGAAAAGTTTTCTGTTTTTATTTGTAACAATCCATCAACAAATTAATAACATTTGCTTGACAACAATTGGATATATATACAAATTGAAAAAGCTCGGCTCGAGCTCGATTTTCTGATCTTGTGCTCAATCACTTTGGTAATACTGTACACTTTTCCCAAGAGTCTTCGATGGTTTACGGTAATGTAGGCAGCTGTTAAATATACAAAATTAATACGACACCCGTGATCTGTTTTCTCTCAAACCCATCCTCAATGTGCTGGGTCAGGTTTAAAACTTGGCCACAACAAGACTTGCCTGATCGAAAGCCTGCCTGTTGTGGAATGATCTTTTGTTCCAGAAAATCGCCAATTCGATTGAGTATCAGACGTTCTAATATTTTATATGTGTGGCATAAGAGAGAAATAGGTCGAAAGTTCTTAGGATTGTTTGGATCTTTCCCAGGTTTGAGCAGTGCAGCCACACAAACTTTCCTCCATGCCTTTGGTATATGCATTTGGCTTATGCACATGTTCATGAGGCTCAACAACCATTGCATGGCATTTTTACCTAGGTTCTTTAGTTGTTTGACTCTGATCTCGTCAATACCTGGAGCTCTATTAGTCTTTAAGCTGGTAATGACTGCAGTTAGCTCGGACATGGTTCTTCCAGGAAGTGATTCTCACTTGCCACATCACACCCAACAGGCTCCCGGTATTTCCTTCCATAGGTTTTGCCATTTAAAAGAAGGTTGGTAGTGACTTGATCGACAGTAACTGTTGTAAAGTTGTCTTTTGGTTTTGTCGCATCTCCATTTATGTTCTTGAGGAACTTCCAGGCCCGTCTGCTGTTCACCTGCATATCTAAACTCTCCACAAGATCACACCACTTAGTTTTGCGATTTTCAGCAATGACTGACATAAGCTCTTCACCTGCTAGAAGTGTGTCCTCAGCAAAGGGATCATTGTCAAAGAGACCTTGGTATCGTTCTAGCAGTGGCTTTGCCTCTTCAGAGAGTCCTGCGATGTAATGGGTTCAACAGCCTCTTGGTATAATTTTTCTCGAGACCTGCTGGACAAGCTTAACGAAGGAGTCATACATATCAGGTTGTGGAGGGATATTGGCGATTTCTCTGTCAATGATCTCCCTAAAACCCATCCAGTTGGACTTTTTGAAATTAAACCTGCGCCTTAGAGGAACAACTTCAGGTTTAACAACAGCACTAACGGTGCATACTATAGGTCTGTGTTGAGTTCGTGGAATCTGATCACCTACAGACTTTTCACACTGAGAGTCAATCCTGCTGCTCACAAAGATGTTGTCAGGGTTATAACCTCTCTTCCATCTACTACCGCTGTTAAAGGAGCAAGGGAGCTTAGGATCGTGTATGAACTGCAGGTCATTTGCCTCAGCCCAGTTTTCAAGTTTTTTCCCATTTTCACTTGTCTCTTTGTGTCCCCAAGCAATGCTTTAACAATTAAAATCCCCCAAAACGAAATTAATGTCATCATAGCATAAATTATCAGGCTCTGTAAATACATACTGAGATTCGGGAGGCTTATACAAAGAGGTGACACTGTACTGTTGTGTCCTGACCGTTAGTATCTCAGTATTGTTCATCTCAGTAAGCGAAGCTGAGGTGATGTCAATGTATGGCCTGGCAAAAACAGCACTACCATATTGATCATGAGGTCTCTCTAGAATCAGTCTCATTCCCTCTATGTTGGGTCTAGGTTTTAAAATGCCCCGGTGTGTTTCTTGCACAAGGAGGAAGTCGCATTCGTACGTTTTGCACATATCAGACAGTAATACTTCTTTGTCTCTTGATATTAATCGAGATTGTTACTAATGGCCTTGAAAAAGACCGTTTAGGCAGATTCATTTTTCGAAGTCGTCCGGTTGTAGAAGGATTTGCCGCTGACATGTCAGCGTTGCCCGGGGTGCGCCTGATTGTGATGTCCTTCATAGCGTGTAATGGTCACAATCTTCGGGGAGGCTCCTTCCGTGCACCCCTGTTTTAAAATGAGAAACTGTTACATATTAAATTAAAGATGTCTAAAATAAAATAGGTGTATTCCGAAATTAAACTTAAATAACAATGAATGTAAACAAAAACAAAGTGAACTTATTAAACATAACATATGGTATTAATTAGACATATGTTAGAAGAAACGTCAGAAACATTTATGATGAGAAACATTTTGAATAATTATTATTACTTTGCGTGTGGTTTTTCCAGAGTATGTTTTGTCATCACAGGAAAAGAGTCTTTTGTAGTGTTAATCCATTATTGAGTTATAATAATTTTAGAATTACATCGGTTAAGGGTGTTGGATGTAGTTAACAATGTAGTTAACAGTTACTGGCTGGTAGTACTGGCTGGGTAGCTGAGTGGTTATAGTGCTTGCCTGGCATACAAAAGGTCACCGGTTTGATCCTGAGAAAAGTAAGTAGCTTTTTGATGGTTTAAACTAAACCCAGCTGTTCCTGATCGTTGGGCTTTAAATGAATGATCCTGACTGATGAAACAGCTTTTCTTAGTCAGTAACAAAGCTACACTTACCATTTCACACCATTCTACACTCATCCCTCACTCATATTTGGGTTAAAATACGCATATAGGTGGCGCTCCCATCTGAATTGATAATCGTAATTTGCCATTAAATTTTGGTTTGTCGTAGCATAGGCAGTGAAGCAACAACAAGGTGTGTTTTTTTTTTATATAAAGTAATTTTTATCCAAATCTTTTGAAAGATCTTTAAGATCCTTGGATAATAAAAATTATAATTTACCTTTTTTCAAAGCTAACGGTTGTACACAAACAGATGGTGGTGACACGGTTGTTGGAGTCTTGTCAACATTACGTGTCCACTAAGCAGTCCAATCTGACCCACTGGCACCCGGTGCTTGGGTGGTTCGCTCAGTCACTGGACCCAGGTCTCCAGGACGCCGTCCCACATATCAAGGAACAGCTGTTTCTGTTGTGGAGTCAACCTATCGTCACTAAGCTGCTCGGCTCTGCCTTGGACGAGGCTTTGGACCAGTTCCCAGAAACACCACCTCCCCCGACTCCTCCACCAAGCAGTAACCTCTTCAAGTAGGTTCTATCACAAATAAACTTGTTTTATTTTGTGCCATAATTAGGTGATAAGTTTGAGATTATTTTTAACCCTTTGATGTCATGGTCAAATATTTTGGATGTCTGCTAAATGTTTGTTTACTGGCTACCTATACGTCCAAAAGCCACAAATAACACAGTAAGCAAATCATAAACCATTAAAGATTGAGTAATTTTCAACGACTTAAAACAATCTCTACTTTTCTCTGAATAAAACCAAAGTTATAGAAAAAAAGTATTTATGGAAAAATTATGAAAATGAGTTTGAGGTTCGAGTCGTACATTCAGCACTATATGTTGCTTCTGTATTTCCATAGTTTGTGCAGAACAAAGTAAAATAAAGAACTGTACGAATTAAATAAAATAATCCTGTAACTTGTAATCAGAGTATTAGTAATGTTATTATTAATCAACCTCAGATAAGGAAAGGATGGTATTAAGGTAGTGTAATAATTTTGTTGAGTCCAAATTAACAATTTTTATCCAGTCTATATTAAACTTGCCTTCTGTCTTCTGCTTGAAGATGGCGAAGCTATTGCAGTCAATGTTTGCACCACTCTATTAGCTGATGATAATGACGACAACTTAACCAACTAACACTGAAATAATCATCCTATAGCCTACTATTGATAATATTTCATGATAAATGTGCCCTTTCAAATAGCCTTAACTAAAAAATAATAATTTAAGATTCATAATTTTACCAACATGTTGTTATGCAGGAGAGCTCTAGAAGCCAGGACCAACAGAGCCAATGCTGCTAAGCAGTTGCGCAACAAGCTAGGCAGTCCTGAGACTACCAAGGTGGCTTTGATCTGTACCTTGTACCACACGGCTCTCCACACTCTCACACAACTCAGGCTCGACATTCTGACAGGTAGATAACCTAGCCTAATGTTGTACCTTGTACCACACGGCTCTCCACACTCTCACACAACTCAGGCTCGACATTCTGACAGGTAGATAACCTAGCCAAATGTTGTACCTTGTACCACATGGTTCTCCACACCCTCAGACAAGTCAGGCTCTACATTCTGACAGGTAGATAACCTAGCCTAATGTTGTACCTTGTATCACACGGCTCTCCACACCCTCACACAACTCAGGCTCGACATTCTGACAGGTAGATAACCTAGCCTAATGTTGTACCTTGTACCACCCAGCTCTCCACACCCTCACACAACTCAGGCTCGACATTCTGACAGGTAGATAACCTAGCCTAATGTTATACCTTGTACCACATGGTTCTCCACACCCTCAGACAAGTCAGGCTCTACATTCTGACAGGTAGATAACCTAGCCTAATGTTGTACCTTGTACCACACGGATCTCCACACCCTCACACAACTCAGGCTCGACATTCTGACAGGTAGATAACCTAGCCTAATGTTGTACCTTGTACCACACAGCTCTCCACACCCTAACACAGCTCAGGTTCGTCATTCTGACAGCTAGATAACCTAGCCTAATGTTTTACCTTGTACCACACGGCTCTCCACACCCTCACACAACTCAGGCTCGACATTCTGACAGGTAGATAACCTAGCCTTATGTTGTACCTTGTACCACACAGCTCTCCACACCCTAAAACAGCTCAGGTTCGTCATTCTGACAGCTAGATAACCTAGCCTAATGTTTTACCTTGTACCACACGGCTCTCCACACTCTCACACAACTCAGGCTCGACATTCTGACAGGTAGATAACCTAGCCTAATGTTGTACCTTGTACCACACGGCTCTCCACACGGCTCTCCACACCCTCACACAACTCAGGCAGCTTGACATTCTGACAGGTAGATAACCTAGCCTAATGTTTTACCTTGTACCACACGGCTCTCCACACTCTCAAACAACTCAGGCTCGACATTCTGACAGGTAGATAACCTAGCCTAATGTTTTACCTTGTACCACACGGCTCTCCACACCCTCACACAACTCAGGCTCTACATTCTGACAGGTAGATAACCTAGCCTAATGTTGTACCTTGTACCACACAGCTCTCCACACCCTAACACAGCTCAGGCTCGTCATTCTGACAGCTAGATAACCTAGCCTAATGTTTTACCTTGTACCACACGGCTCTCCACACCCTCACACAACTCAGGCTCGACATTCTGACAGGTAGATAACCTAGCCTAATGTTGTACCTTGTACCACACGGCTCTCCACACACTCACACAACTCAGGCTCGACATTATGACAGGTAGATAACCTAGCCTAATGTTGTACCTTGTACCACACAACTCTCCACACCCTCACACAACTCAGGCTCGACATTCTGACAGGTAGATAACCTAGCCTAATGTTGTACCTTGTATCACACGGCTCTCCACACCCTCACACAACTCAGGCTCGACATTCTGACAGGTAGATAACCTAGCCTAATGTTGTACCTTGTACCACACAACTCTCCACACCCTCACACAACTCAGGCTCGACATTCTGACAGGTAGATAACCTAGCCAAATGTTGTACCTTGTACCACACAACTCTCCACACCCTCACACAAATCATGCTCGACATTCTAATAGATACATAACTTAACCAAATGGTGTACAGTAGACCTTTTATTCATTCGGCACTCAAGTAATTCTGCATCTTTTGACAGGTGTGGTCTTCCGTGATCTCGGCAACATTCTGATTATCTCTCGCAGCCATTTAGACATCATCATCCACTTTTGCAATCATGGAAACGTCATAGTTGTTTTGCACGATTGTGGCTAAATCATGATCATCTCCTGTGGCTGTGTAGTCATTATCAATCCCTCCCGCAGTCGTGTATCGTTGTCTTCAGTGATTTCAGCAAAAATCTTATCATCTCCCGCGGTTCTGTAAACATCATCATCCACTCCTGCCGTCTGGAAAACGTCATCATCGTCTAGCAAAATAGAGATCGCGACAAGATTATAGACATCTCCCGCTGGCCGTGTAGACATTATCATCTCTTCCCGCGTTCACGGAAACGTCATCGCAATCGCGGTAATGCATGATCGTCTCCCACGGTCGTGTTGACATCATCATCGCAACCCACAGTCACGGAAACGTCATCGTTGTCATATATGATCGCGACAAAAATCTGATTATCTCCCGCGGCTGTGTAAATATCGTCATCCAACTCCTGGGGTCACGAAAATGTTGTCGTCGTCTAGTGCGATCGCGACAAAATCATGAACTACTCCCGTTGCTGTTTTGACATTATCATCCACTCCCGTGGACACGAAAACGTCATTGTCGTTTAGCACGGTCACGGAAAAATCATGAACATCTCCCGCGGCCATTTGGACATTATCGCTGTGATTCATTGTGATGTCATCAAGATTTCGCCTGTAACCGGTTTAAGACTGTTGGCCCTTATCAGTGTTACAAAAAGTATGCAAATATTACCATTTAAAACTGAGAATAAAGCGTAAATTTCATTTTCAAATTTGAGTGAGGACGTTCTCAAATACAAGTTAACATTTGTTGTTTACCATATAGTGTTATGGTGATGTTTGTGTTCTCCTCAGGTCTCTGTTACCAAGACAGAATCCTCTACCAGCTTTGGAGGTTCCTAGCATCACTTGGGCCACACTGTGGTCTCAAACCCTTCCTCAACCTGTTGTCAATCAACACCAAAGGCTCAGCCCCAGAGTTCAACGTCCTCATCCTGTTTGCAGACTGCATGACTCACTATGTCACGTAAGTATTATCACTGCAATCAAATATCCATTATTAGAAAAGTTGCAAAGATTTTTATAATAGCACAGTACTCAAGGACACAATAAAAAATTCCTAAATTTGTATAAATAATTGTCATATGTCGAAGTAGAAATTACTCTATAAATAGAACGCTACAATTTAACACATCTATAATTCGGTTGGAATTTATTTGTCCTCAAATCAGTTTGAGCTCTTTTGCAGTTTCTTGCTTTCATCAGATATATAGGGTGTACATAAAGTCCCACACAGGTTTGATATGTTCTGGACGATAGCAGATAAATCAATAAGATTTGGTACATCAACAGGACACCTAAAAATCTACTTTTCGTAGGAACTATCAGTTCTCTGTCATATCATGGGGACGTCCAACAAGGAGTCAGAAGGACATCTTAAATATGAGCATAGGTCGAGTTTGGTATCATATTAAAGGTTTTAGTTAGTAGAATACATAGCCGCAAACCCGAACTCAATTGGAAACCATAGTAAAAAATGACAGCTGTTCAAAGATTCATTGAATTTGCAATGCAATTATATGCTACCTCCTCAGGGGGCGCTCACTAGAGTTAGGAAGAAAATATAAGCGTAAACTTAAGCAAAGGTTGATATGCACATCAAATAAAAGGTATTTTATGCAGTGTTGGGGAAGCTACTTTTAAAATGTAGCTAGCTACAACTACTGCTACATTTCCAAAAAAGTAGCTTAGCTACAGCTACAGCTACAGTTCCGAAAACGTAGCTAGCTACAATTACAGCTACAATGAAATGTAGCTATAGCTACAATTTTTGCTACTTTTCCAAAGATGTTACTTTTATTCCACACGTATTAGGTAAATGTAAAATTAATGCAGTGATTTTTGCTAAATTCGGTATGAACCTTGGTAAATACTTTAGCATGCCCAAACACCGCATTACCCCTTTCTTGTCTGTGGGTGGGTTCATTTCAACTATGGCCTTTACATAATCTGGGTCGGGCTGGATTCCTGCAGCCGATACTATGTGTCCCAGATACTTAACTTCGCTCTTCTTAAATTGCATCTTGTTTGGATTAAACTTAATTCCAAGTTTAAGGGCTGTGTCCAAAACTCTCTTTAAATTTACATCATGCTCTTCTGATGTCGTTTTTCCTACAATAATATCATCATGTACTATGTTAACTCCCTTCAGGTTTCCAAAGCATTTATAGTTATTTTTCTGGCATAATTCTGGACCCGAGCAGATTCCAAAAGGAAATCTACAAAATTGGTATCTCCCAAATGGGGTACTGACTGTGCACAGTTCACGGCTCTCCTCGTCTAAAACAATTTGAAAAAACCCATCCTTAAGATCCAAAACAGTAAAATATTTGTAACCACTCATTGTTACCAGAATATCATCAGGGTGTGGCATTAAAAAGTGCTCTCTCATTACCACCTAGTTCAGTGGCAACGGATCTATGCAGATTCTCAAAGACTTATCGGGTTTTTCCCCCCCAATGTGTTTCAATGTGTTTCATTGACCCATGCTGTAGGTTTGTCAACTTTCCGAATCACCCCAGTTTCCTCAAGTTGGTCCAACTTTTTCTTTAGTTTTTCCTGTAAACTGTAAGGTACTCTCCGTGATTGTCGAATTTGTGGAATAGCACCCTCCTTAAGCTGAATATGATGAGTGCTTGGAAACTGTCCCAATCCTTCAAAAGCTGTCTTGTAGCCGGTTAAAACATCGTCCTTATCCTTAAAATTCAAACATATCAATGACACTCTCCTAATGAGTCCTAAATTGACACAATCATTTAGTCCTAAAATTGGCAGTTCATGTTCGACATTCACTACAGCAAAATTCACATCTGCAGTTACACCTGTAATTGTTTTACATTGTAACATCACAAGACCTAGTGGTTTGATTTTTAATTTTTCATCTCCCCAGGCTGAGAGTACATAAGAACTACATTTTACGTGTGTAATGTTCATTTTCCGTACATAACTAGCAGGTAAAATACTGATCTCTGCACCTGTATCTAGTTTAAATTTAACTTGTGTACCACCAACAGTCAAGTGTTCCGTCCAAGATTTTTCACTTTGACCTTTCACTCCACTAATGTTTAAGCTTACCGAACCTAAACTAACATCGCTCACACAAGAGTCTTCATCGTGTTGTTTCTCGTTTGTAACAGCATGAGATTTTATAGTTTTACTCCTACAAACCTTTGCAAAATGATTTTTACCATCACATTTCGAGCATGTTTTGCCATATGCAGGACATTTACCCCGAACATGTTTGTAGCCGCAAAAGCTACATAGATCGTTCTGTTTTTCTTTTGCAATACTCCGCGAAAGTTCTTGATTTGGTACATTATTAACAACACATACACTGTATGGATCCGACTTAGTCCCCGAAAGCTTGGTTTCATTGTGCTCTACAATAGTCCTACATTGATCCTTGCTACTCTATACAATCATACAGAAATCAATAGCTTTTTTCAAGTCAAGTTTTGTATCTCTTAATAGACGCTCTTGAGTACTTTTATCTCTTATACCTAAGACAATTCTATATCTAATCATATTGTCAGGTTCAAGAAACTCGCATGATTTAGCTGCTATTTCTGCATAACAAACTTACTGAAGTCTTGACCTTCTTTCTGCTTCATTCTATAGAATTTAAACCGCTCAAATATGACATTTTTCAGAGGACAACAGTAAGATTCAAACTTATCAAGTACGCAATCAAAACTATCTTTGTCATTATTTTCAAATTTAAAAGTATTATGTACATCTAGGCCATCATCGCCTAAAATCTTAATTTCATCCTTAAGTTTCTTACCATGACTAGTAGCTATTAAGTACAGTTCAAACTTATGACGAAATCTTTTCCAATTTTCACTCACATTTCCTTCAAAACTCATAGGTTCAGGCAACCTAAACAATCCAGATACTTCCATTATTTCTTCTAGGTTTCAAAATACAACTGACACCATGTTTTAGTTAGAAAATATAAATAAAATTAGAAGCTTTAACATTTAAAGTTCAGAAGTTTATTTACAATTTGTTGTATATGTTAAATTTAATATTAGTTGAATTTGTAGCAGCTGATTATTACTATTGTTTATGTTAGTGGTTGCTATGTTGTGAATCATTCTAAAAGTCAATACATATTAGTTTTACTGAAGTCTTTACAATTATTATTTCTTAAATAGTTAACATGGTGTCAGAATAACTTGTGAGAATGGATTGTAAACCTGCACCTCTTGATTTGAGCAATACATCCTCAGCCAAGGAAGAATGAAGAGTATTTAAGAAGCAATGTTATTTATGCAAACTGTTATGGATGAGAAATTTGACAATACAAATGAATGGTGCATTATATTAGTTGATGCTGATAACGCCTTCAATAAAATTAACAGAGTAAATGCATTGTGGCAAGCAAGGTTACATTGGCCTAGAGCTGCCAGATTTATTTACAACACTTATCAATGCAATGCAGACTTGATAATCCCTGGAACTAGTAAAAGACTATTCAGCAAAGAAGGTGTCACCCAAGGTGACCCTTTATCAATGATTTTGTATGGATTAGCAACACTTCCACTAATTCAGGAATTAAAAAGAATGCCAGATGTTTTCCAGACCTGGTATGCAGATGATTCATCTTGTCAAGGATCCCTTAATAATGTGATGCAATGGTGGCAAAAACTTAAAGAAATCGGTCCAAAATATGGATACTACCCTCAAGCAAAAAAAACCAAACTAATTTGGAACCATGATTTTGAAATTCCCCAAAAAGTTATGAAACAAATGGAGGGAATCGAAGTTGTTCATGGCAGCAAGTTTTTAGGAGGCTTTATTGGCTGCGAGGAAGAAAAGAAAAAGTTTGCAACAGAAAAGATCAATGCTTGGACCCAGCGTGTTGAAAATATTGCTGAGATTGCTGAAAAACACCCTCAATCAGCCCATACTGTTGCTACAAAATCATTACGAGCAGAATGGACTTTTTTCCAGAGAGTAGTAAAAGTTGAACCAGAAATGTTCAGTCCAATCCAGCACACTATTAGAACATCACTTTTCCCCAATCTGTTTGGATTACAAGAAGGCCTATTAGTCCAGTCGGCAGGTAGTTTTAGATGGAAAAAGGTCGGAAGTTAATGAAACTTGGGGATGTTGTTCAGGGATGATAAATCAACATTTTCCCAAGTTTTGGACATCGAGGACCCTGTGGAAAAAAGATGTTGGGGGAAAAACTTCAAAATTTTGGACACTTTTTTGATTTTTTCTCAATAACTTTTTTCCCTTACTTCCTACCGACAAAGCATACGTTACACTTTTGTAGAGCGTTAAATTTCCTACAATTCTACAGTTCAAACATGTTTGTACGATAATTTGTTACCGAGCAATAGTATTTTTATTTTAATATATTTTAAAAAATACACCAAAATATGCAAAAAAGCAGATTTTCTACTTATTTTTTCTGCTGCAAGCAAAATTATTACTAAATTTTGTAGTAATTATCGTTCCAAGTTATAAGCACCATATCCGGATATCCCCATATCCCACCCACCCATCACTCAGCTGATCAAGGTGGCTTCCTACACCCTGGTTTAACACTACCACAATATTGCATTATCTTCTATGTATTAATAGGATATTTCACAATTACAATTGATTAATATGTTGTTAAACACTATCATCAAAACATCCATCAGTCTGCAAAGTTTCTTTCCTGTCTTCACTAATTTTTGCTCACTAATTAGTAATTTTGCCTTATATTACTTTGTCGTGTTGCCGTACTGTGTTGCTTACAGTTATATTTTGGTTTTAGTCTCGTTTGGTTGGTAGTCTATATGCTCCTCACGCGGGCTATAAAGAGCTATGGAGGACTCACTCGTGGACGCGGAGTAAGTGATTCTTTGCTTTCTTTCTAGATGTACATTAGGCACGCTGTGTCTTCAAAGCATTTGTGAACAAGTAGAATTGTTCGCTGATGTTCGCTCAGAGACATCATCTGAGCAACAT